TCTCCCCAGAAGTAAATCTAATCAATTTCTTTTGTGACTTTCTTAGTTTAATTTCAAGAAATTCCAATTTAGAAACAAGAGATTCATTTGCAGAAATAACTTGACTTACCTCACCTTCTAGGAATCTTACCTTTCCACGAAGATCTTCAATCTCTTTCTTTTTCTGTTCACTTTCCTTCTTCAGAGCATCTCTTTGCTTCTCAACTTCTTTCAATTCTCTAGATTGCTTATTGAAGCCTTTCTTCGTTTGAACATATGTAGCATATAATTCATTGAAGGCTTTATCATAATTTTCCTTTGTTGCTTCCTTGTAACAATCTTCATCATTAGATTTTGCTATGTCCTCAAAATCCGAGTCATCTGTGTTAGACAAAGACAATTCTTTAAAAGCATCATTATTCACAGAAGCAACAAAAACAAGAGGATTATCATCATCATTAGAAGAATCATCAGAAAAAGAAGCATTTTTATCTTTAGAAACTGAAACATTCATTGCTTTATCCTTTTTTATTTTATTTTATTTTTATTTTTATTTTTTTATTTTTTATCTTTGGACTCTTTCCTACAACAAAGCTATTTTTAGGACTTGGACACACTGTTAATGTATGACCTATACCACCACATGTCCAACATTTAATCTCAGTTCCTTTAGACTCCTCTTCTATCCTTTTATCTCGTCTCTCACTTCCCCTAGATGAAAACTCTCTATTCCTAAACCTTGACTCTCCCCCTTTCTTAAATGCATTTATCTTTTCAGACTTGATTAAATTTCTGAACTTCCTAGTGATGAGAGCAATTTCTTCATCAGACTCACTATTATACCTAACCTCAGACTTGGAAGAATCAGACTTTGAAGCTTTTAGGGCTAAGTCTTTAGGTTTTAGGGAATTTCCATTGTACTTCATCTCATAGTTCTTAATATGACCTACAACCTTATCAACTTGCATGGTAATGATGTTTTGAGTTGCTTGCAGTGTTTCAACTTTGATTCTAAATCTTTAAGGCAAAGACCTAAGAATTTTCTTGTTAATCTTCTTATCTGTCACTTTCTTTCCTAAGTTTCGAAGGCCAGACACAATATGGTTGAGTTTCATGTAAAACTCAGAAAAGGTTTCATCTTCTTCCATCTTAAGATTTTCAAATTGAAACACAAGCATCTCAATCTTTGAAGATTTGAATTCATTTGTACTCTCATGGGTAAGTTGAAGTATATCCCATGCCTCCTTTGCAATTTTACAATGAGCAATATGAGCTAACTTAGATTGGACAACATATTTGAATAAAGAAAACAAAGCTTTGGTGTTTCCTTCTTGAGCATTATTCTCAGCCTGAGTCCACTCAGATTCTTCCTTCTCAATGATAACACCATCTGTTGTGACTGTAGGTTTTTTATAACCTTTTTCAATTGCAGTCCAAACATATTTACCTTGAGTCATAAGAAAAGTTGTCATGTTAGGTTTCCAAAAAACATAGTTATCACCATCAAACAAAGGAGTACGTTGAATAGATCCACTTTTCTTAATAACGCTATCCATATCAAAATTTGAAAACAAAAACAGAGAATTTTTTTTTTTTTTTTTTTTGAATATTCTAAAAAAAACAATTCCACAAGGAACAACTCAATGCATAGAGGATGGCTCTGATACCACTTGTTGAGTGTGCGCAGTGGAATGGTTGTGGAATATAATATGGATAGATAACCTAGAGGATAGTAAATATATTTAACTTGCTCTTTTACCCAATTTTTGATTATTTTAATTTTACCGAAATAAAACTAAAATCAAACTACAAAGCAAAAATAAAGTGCAAGTAAAATAAATAGAGTTTGAGATATGACACCAGGATTTTATCGAGGAAATCCCAATTGGTAGAATAGACCTGTTACAACCCAATTGGTAGAATAGACCAATTGTAACAGGAAAAACCTTGTTGGACTCTCTAGTCTTGAGATAAACGATCCACTATGTTTAAAGTAAAGTATACCGAACTTTGACTCGGTCTCACATCCTATCGTTCTACCAAAGACCAATTGCTAACAATCCTAGCTTTGCGACTCCCCCGTCCAACAACTTTCGACCTCAGGCTACTCTCGATCTCTGTAGAAGGGTTACAGGTAGATCGTACAACACTCCACGAATGCTCTGACTCCTTCAAAGTATGATCGCTTCACCCTTTTTCTTCTAGATCTGAATTTGACGAAGAACGAATGAATTCTGCTTTTCCGGAATTTCTGAATCTTCAATTATACTTCAATTCCGATGAGATAGAGAACAACACTACAAAATTACTCTTGTGTTTATGTGTGTGCTCTCAAAAATAAAATCAGAAAAATCAGATTGATTTTCTGAATGAATAAAAAAATATCTCTCAAAAGGCTTTCAATTGGATTTGAATTTTCTATGCAAAAGCCGTGAATAAACTTATGTGTATGACAAGGTTTATATAGAGTTTAGAATGACTTAATCCCTCTGAAAATATGAAAAATTTCGTGCATAGGATTTGGTACAGTTTTAAATCAACTAGGAAAGAAATCAAGAAAAAGGAAACTGAAGTTATGCTGTGAACAGGACTTCTTGAACCGATTCAGAGGGGTTAAACCGGTTCAAGTTTGGCAGATTAGATTTCAAGCCAATCTTGAAGCCTTAAACTGGTTCAAGGAGGTTAAATCGGTTCAAGTATACCAAACTTGAATTTTTGGTTCAATCAGGCTAAAAAAAACACTTTATGGTAAGTTTTTGAAATAAATACCAAGTGTAAAATGTGTCCTAACCTTTTTAGAATCCTTCCTAATGTGTTGTTCTTACCTTCTTCAAAAAATCTCAATTATGGTAACTTTGAACAACCTTTCCTTTCCACAGTCGTTGTCGATCCAGATATAGTAACTTGAATTTGCAACTCGACTAAAACTTGTTTTGACACCGAAAGTTGCCAATTACAGAATATATATTTTTTACAATCTTCCCAAAATATATATCTCACAATTCTCGCTTTATAAAAGCCACTATAGCATAACTCTAAATTGAGAATTTGAGATACACTAGGTTGTAGGTTAGTCTAGGACCTTCTAATGCCATCACCGGAGGTTCATCACCCGTGAAATGGTATGTATATATATATTTATACACACACACACATATACACACTTTCAACATGAATTCCATCAATATTTTAGATATATCTATATCTTTTTTTATGTATATGTAATATATATATATTTTTAGAAATAAATTTCGAAATGGATTCTACAGTATTACTAATAAAATTTGAGTTCAACTAAAGTAAAATACATATGGTAGTGTTTTGGTTGCATAATATATCGATAATTCTATACACGTAGAATTTTAGTTCAGAATCTTTATACAACGTAAATTATGAACTTCTCAATAAATTTTTTGAATGACAGTAACGACTTGTTTAAACACATGACTTTCCGAGGCTTTCCAACTAACCGTTGTAGTTCATTCGGGAAAGAATTCTATAATAGCTAACTAACATTTCAATCAAATTACTTGGAGCATCTCCAATGGCTTCTCAAATGGGCTCTCAAACTCAAAATATAGCAGGTAGATGAAATTAAGGCACTCCAATGGCCTCTCAAAAGACCTCTCATATTTTGAGATTCTCAAATATATTTTCAAATATAGCAGCTCTCAAATGGTCTCTCAAACTCAAAATATAGCAAGTGGATGAAAATAGACACTCCAATGGGCTCTCTCAAAAGACCTCTCATATTTTGAGATTGTCAAAAGTTGCTAAAATGAAAATAAGGCACTTCAATGGGCTTTCAAAATATAGAATGGTTGTTGTGTCAAAAAATAGCATTTTGAATGAAATGTAAAATTGGAGCAAAATTGTAAAAATATAGCATTTTGACACTGTAACTCCTCTCAAAATATAGATTTAGTATGAAAATATAACATTTTGCATTAAAGATGCTCTTACGTGTTAGTTATCTATTTATAATTGTACACATATAATTTCAAAGAAAAGGTATATTATATATACAACACAATATTTAATATATTTTATTTATATAACTTTTCTCAACAAAACAAATTTAATATTCATGCATATCTCTTTCATATCGTAATGAACTATTACGAGAACATAAAAATATAGTACCTCCTCATGTACTAATTATGTATTGTATATATAGTGATTCATTCGTTAAAGAATTCTATGATAACTAACTAACATTTCAATCAATGATTCTATGTGTCAGTTATATATATATATTTGTACATGTATATTGCATATAAAATACAATATTTCATATATTTTATCCATGTAATTTTTCTGGACAGAACAAATTTAATATTCATGCATATTTCTTTCACATTGTAATAAAAGAATTCTAGAACTAAACTATTAGGACAACATAGATATAAAATATAATAACTCCTCATGTACTAATTATTTATGAAACAATATAAATATATATATAATTGGATAGAAAGATAAAATATATAAATTGCTATTCAATTCAAATTAAAACATCTTTAAAAAAATATTTGAAAGGGTTTTGAGTTGTAATTTGACGTACATGCATGAACCAAAAGATGAGTCTCCTCTCAAAGTCGTTGAAATTGTTTGTGAAATAAGAAACCTCTAACAAACTTTTTGTGAAGAAATTCTTTTCACAAGAGATTGAAAGAAAGAGAAGAGTGAGATATAGGGTGATATGAATGTCAAATATATATATATATATATATATATATATATGGTTGAACAAATCAGTTAAAAGATGACCTTTTTGTAGTTATTTGAAAAATCACATTTATTTATTAAAATAAATTAAATGATTTAATTGTATATAAATAATAGAAATTGAATCCATGAGGGATATAGATAATTGTAGGTATGCATGCAGTTTTTATAAATTAGAAGCTTCATTAATTAATTGTTTCCTCTCAAACAAACTCCTCTCAAACAAACTAATTATCAATCAGAGCACAGGAGGAAATACATCAAGAAAGAAACCAAAAGATCAGTAAGTGAGTATGGCTTTATTCCGTACTATTCCGGACAAGGTGGGCAGACTATGGAATGAATGGAATCTCCGCGGTGCTGTTCTTTTCAGTCTCTTCTTGCAGGTATTGTTGATTTTCTTAGCACCATCACGGAGAAGAAGAAAGAGCAGAATATTAAGGTCGGTGATATGGTTGGCGTATTTGCTTGCTGATTGGGTTGCGGTCTTTGCCATTGGACTCATCTCCTCCAATATTGGCGAAGGAGGTAACTGTGACAAGCTGGGGGTAAGCAAAGACCTTTCCGCTTTTTGGGCTCCCTTCCTTTTACTACACCTCGGTGGCCCCGATACCATCACAGCTTTCTCTCTAGAGGACAATGAACTGTGGCTCCGGCATTTGCTTGGGCTTGTCATCCAGCTTGCTGCAGTTGTTTATGTTATCTCACGGCCAATCCCTAATGAATTTTGGATTCCAACACTCCTCATGCTTTTTGCTGGAGCAATTAAGTACGCTGAGCGGACTCGTGCCCTGTATCTAGCATGCTCAAGTAATTTCAAATACAATGATCATGCACCTTGGAGAACTTTCAAGGAAAAGGATATCAGCAGTGACTTGGAGGTGGTGAAACATGGCAACACATACTTCAAACTTTCCAAAGGACTAATCATTGACGGCAGGCCTGATCCCAAAATGGGTTACGAAATTCAACAGTATTTCATTAACAGGACTTGTGAAGATGCTTTTCGAGTAATGGAAGTTGAGCTGAATTGCTTGTATGATATTCTCTACACCAAGATAGAAGTGGTGCATAGCAAGATCGGGTGCATTTTTAGCCTTCTATGTTCTGTCCTTGTAGCGATTTCCTTCCAGCAATTTGTAGCCTCTCATCACACTAACAGGCACAAATTAATCCACGGAGGAGGAACTGACATTGTTGTTACTTATACTTTGCTTATTGGTGCCGTTGGCTTGGACTTTGTATCTCTTCTCATGCTCATCTTTTCCGACTGGACTCTAGTTTCAGAACTACTGGAGAAGAATACCATCACTCAGCAGGTTAGATCAATTATCTTTGCCATCCGCAAGATATTAATTCCAATATTATTAATGGATAAAAGATGGTGCCAATCTGTCTCACAGTTTAATTTAATAAGTTATTGTGTGGCTGAAAAGTACTCCTCATGGTTCAACAAAGTGACTGGCTGTTTTGGACTCAAGGAAATGCGATACATAAAAACCAAGCCGGTTGGGAATGAGCTGAAGGAATTCATTTTCACAGAGCTGAAAAAAAAGGCAGTGGAGCATTATGAAACTTCCAAGGAGATATTTTCAGCCAAAGGCAATTGGACTCTCAAGGAGTACAAAACCTTCCTTGGTGATGGTTACTCCTCAATCGCAGAGACTGTGAGCGAGCAAGTTGAATACGATGAGAGCCTCTTGGTGTGGCACATTGCTACTGAACTGTGCTATTTCAAAGATGGTGAAAATGGTGATGATCCGAATCGTGAATACTGTAAGATCTTGTCAGACTATATGTTGTATCTATTGGCCATCCAGCCTACGTTGGTGACCAACGTTGCGCAAGTCAGGTTCCAGGAAACCTGTCGACATGCCAAGATGAGCATTCCGCTTGATATGTCAGATTTACGTGGTCATCTACTTTCTAAGTATGGAAATCTGCGCGGTATTACACGGGATAGACATTCGGTTTTGCTTGGTGGTCGTAAGCTGGCAAAAGAACTTCTCCAGTTGGAGGATAAGAAAATGATGTGGGAAATGATGGGCATAGTGTGGGTTGAATTGTTGTGCTTCGGCGCAAGTCATAGCAAACCAAGCGCTCATGCTCAGCAACTCAGCAATGGTGGCGAGCTCATTACCTTCATCTGGTTGCTCATGGCCCATTTTGCCTTCGTAGAAGGGTTCCCCGACAATTTTAGGAACGAACGCCTACAAAGTGTTATGATTATGCGTTCGGGCAATGCTAGGATGGATTTCAGATCATTTGAGGGGGGGAAACAAGAAAGCGCAAGGGTTGGTTGTGCCATAAATATAAGATATTTGTTGTGCTAAAAGTGAAAAAAACTGCCGTCGTTTAGCAGAGGACATCAGTCGGGAAAGATTTGCGGTCTATAGCAAGTGTCATGTGACTGCTGCCTTGGGGCGAGCTACCCATTTCGACCTTTTTCAACAATAACATAGGTGCTTAATTTCTGCTGTGTTTTTATCTTTTGCAACAATAATATCTGCTACCAAAGAGTCTTATATAATAATGAAATTTTACCAGCTATTTGTTTTTTTTTTTTTTGATTTTTTTGGTAGTTAAAGGATGGGAGTGTTTTACAAGTATTCTTCCATTACAAGAATATGATTATAAAGTAAGACTTCAAAGAAAGTCAAAAGACAAATATGGTAACAATCAATCAGTCCAATTAGAAAAAACTTGTTACTCAAGTATAGTAACTTTAACAATAACCTTGTTCATGATTTTGCTAAAAATATGAGTAATACTTTTGAAATGAGGATGGTTGGTGAACAACTCTTTTTTTTTTTTTTTTTTTTTTTTAAGGTTTTCCAGTGAAACAACTTGATGATGGGATTTTCATATCTCAAACAAAATATGCAAATGAACCAGTTAAAAAATTTAGTTTGCAAGATTCAAAACATGTGCAAACTCCTACGAGTACTTCATCCAAATTGGATAGAGACTTTGATTCTAAAAAGGTTGATCTTTCTTTTTATTGGAGTATGTTTGGCAGCTTGTTGTATTTGATAGATAGTAGGCCAAATATTTCATTTAGTGTAGGTTTGTGTGTTAGGTAGCAAGCTGATCCTAGAGAACAACATATACTTGCAGTCAAGTGCATTATTCATTATGTCAATAGTATATTGAATTATGGATTGCATTATTTTTCTGAGTCTAATTTTGAGATTGCTGGCTATACTGATGCTTATTGGGCTGGTAACAAGGATGATAGAAAGATTAGTACTGTGACGGTTTGCACTTTTATCATTTTCTGGACACTTTTGCATTTATGTGTTATTTATGTTATTGTCGGGATTATGAGTAATTGTGCATGTGATTAATTTTATTTAAATGTCATTTGTTTAATTCATGAGGGGGTATTATTGACTTTTATTATGCAAAATGGCATAACTGGCATTTGGTTATTCCATGGAGGGTTTTGTGAACTTTTGGTATGCTAATGGCATACTTGGTATTTGGTAAAGATGGAAGGGTGTTTTGGTTATTACACAAGGTCTTACTTTTGACTATGTGACTTGACACCTAGATAGGTGATGAGGCAACATGTATATATGTATTGTTGTATAGCATTTCGGCTGAGGGAATTTATAGAGAAAAGATGGCAGAGACATTCGTCCTTCTTTATAGTCATTTTATGTAAGCCTCATTTTGTGACCTTTGTGAGGAGATTTTGATAATTCCTTGTGAATGAAAGTTTGCCCTAAAGTCATGAGCTTTCCTTTAGTGTAAAAGTTGGAATCATTTTCTCACTGTTGGGCTGTCATAAGTGGGTTGAAAGAGGAGGGTTTGTTGTGTTGTAAGAAAAAAGGGTGTTCTTCATTTTTACAAAGTTGGTGGCTCTAATCCATCATTTGGATTGTTTAGAATTGTTGTTTTGTAACGACCCAAACCGGGGGTCTGGATCGCTAACCGGGTCCTTAACCAAACCTGAGGACACACTGGGAGTAAAATGGTCATTTTACAATGTGAGAGAGTAATAAGACCTTAAACTAGTCAAATAAAGTTTAAAACAATTATTCTAGACATTTTATAATGTTCGGTGAGGTTCTACGGCCACCGGATATGGTTTCCCAAAAGCGCCCTTACCCGGTTCAAGGGAAATCCGACACTATTCCACTAAAATGACCATAACTCTCTACATGAGTGGAATTTGAGGATGAGGTTGGTCTCATTGAAAAGCTAACTCAAAATCCTTGAAAATGGACTCAAGAATGACCCTATTTGGGTTTGAAACGAAGAAGTTATGACCATCCGAAGTTAAGTGATCAAAGCTCAAACAAAATGAAGGGTAAAATGCCTATTGGAGGGCTGAAACCGGTTCCCAAATCTTGGTACTGGTTCCACATGGACAGAATGTCCAAAACATGGACCAAGTACCTCTTGAACTGGTTCCCGAATGTGGTACCAGTTCCCCAAGTCAAGAAACTAAAAAAAATGCCCTGAAAGCTTGAAATCATGAACTTGTGCACTTAGGCACTCCTATGGTCCATTGGTGACCTTAATCCAAGTTCAAAACCTATCCCAACACAGTGCAAAATAATGATCTACATTCTATGGTCCCTTATATCAACAATTTAATAGATCTCAACATCATTTTCCATTCAAATGAAAATTAATACAAAACCTTTACACTTTTGTCCTAAATTTACATCAAATAGGGGTCTAAACACATGGTTATGTTACAATGCCATACCATACATCTTAATACATTTCAAGATACTACTTTATAAAAATGGCTCATACCTACAAAATAGTTGCAAAACACTCTTCAAGTTCCCCCTCATGCTTGTGGAGGAATGCCATCCACCACCCTCTTCCCGTAACCTGAAAAATGTTAATAGTAAGGGGTGAGCAAGATTGCTCAGTAGGTGATGCCTAAGACACACCTCTTATGACCCGTGAATCCAAGCAATGAATAGAACAATAGGAAACGGGATCATGCTATGCCGGGAGAAGGTACAACAATTTAATTTCAAATCCAAATGAACAACATAGTGCTATGTAATGCAATGCCGTGCTACGTCGCTACCCATTTTCAAAATCATCCATCACTTTTCAAACTATTAATATAACCCATCCTTTGGTGACTCCGTAGCGACACTAGAGAAGGATTGGCTACTGTCCCTGTTAGGGTACCTTTGCGGCGTCATTTGGGGCCCAGATAGCTCAACCAAGCTAAGGTGATTTCCATAGTTCTCTGTAGGTTATATTAACACCACTGCCCTTTGGTGACTCCGCGGCGACTGGGTTTTTCACAAAACCATTTTTATTAAATCTTTTTCCCAAAAATCTCATTTCTTTCATTTATTTCAAATCAACTTTCCCAATTATTTGCCCAATGCAATGCTTAAATGCATCTTGCTTTTCAATGCCATGCCTATGGAGGATTATGTACTTCATAAATCAAACATTAGCAATATAGCATGCCTTGTAGAGAATTTCAAAGAAAATAAACATCATGCTCCCGTAACACAACATCTAGCATTATCCACACCATAGGCAATTAAGATCATCAACTAAGCATGGTTTTTTATATAATTTTAGCTAACACATAGTCACATGCTTCACAAAATTTCTATGACATAATTCATTCTTTCAAGTCATGAAATTTAGCACCAAAGGTACAAAGAGCACAAATTAATCATTAATTAAGCATGGTTCATCATCATATATACCAAGCAACACATAGTCATAACTTTGTCACAAAATGTATACAATATAGTATGAAATTTCTACAAAATTAAGTATTTTAACCACAAATTAAGATGATTAATTTACAAAAGGCCCAAGAAAATATGAATTAGAAATCCCTACCTCAAGAATTACAAAAACTCCCAATTTGCCCAATCCAAGCCCTAGAATTCAAAATTCCTAGGGTGCACCAAAACCACTTTTGCTCCGATCAAATCGAAGATCTCGACGTGCTCTTTAATTTGCAGCAAACGGCACCCAAAAACTCCAAAAGATGAAGGAGAAATCAAAGTTTGAAAATTTGAAAACAAAAGAAAAAAGAAAAAAGAAAAATCTAGAAAGAGGAGGAGAGAGAGAGACTTACGGGAGAGAGAGAATTTGAGGCCTCAAATGTGGCCTTTTGGCCATTAAAAGTGGTGGTGGGTCCTACCACCAAAATTAATTTCCTTTTTGATTTATTTTCCATCATAAATTATATATATATATATATATATATATATATATATATATATATATATATATATATATGATCCAACTATATCATAGCCACACAATTTAGCACTTAAACAATTTACTTAGGCACAAAAATAATAGTGCATGGTATGCAAATGACCCGAGACACAACTCCTGTACACAACAACTCTGGTAACGGGTCCCACCCGAGACTGTCCGGTCTGAAAAACTGAAAAATGCCGAAATGGCAGCCCTTACATTTTAAAGAGTCCTGAACTCTATGAAATGCCCCAATCAACTCTCGGACACACCCGGCACACCCCACGGTATTGGACACGCAAAACGAGAAAAGACAAAAATACTCTCAAAAAATTAAAAAATTCCAGAAATTGGAAAATGGTAAAATTCGGAAACATTACATTCTACCCTCTTTAAGAGATTTCGTCCTCGAAATCTACCCTCCTTAAAGAAAGAGACCCACAGCCATATACCTTCTCGAGAAACATCTCACCAAACTGCAGAGCTAGAATCTCAACAACCTTGTTGCCTTTGATACCTAATGCCAATAGGCAATCACACACTGTCGTCAGAAAACCACCATACGAGGGTACTCGTCACTCACAACATCATACACAAAGCCCGCTGAATTCTACACTCTACTTAAAACCAACACTGGTTCTCTCTACACCGTAACACAAGACTTCGGAGTCGAAAAAAGAATTGTTAACAATATCCTATCTCAACTCATCCCTTTAAAGGATACATAAAATCCTAGATAAGGAACCCCATCCCTCACACAATCACGCTCAAACTCAAATCCACACATCTCTGTCTAACTAATACTCGCCATCTAACATATAGCTACACCATCACATATCGGTACAAACGACCACCAACCGCACCATACGACAATCATCATATTAAACAGATTTCCCAACGACTACATAACCAAAAGTCATCAAAACAATAAAACGTATTATCCTATATTCTGGACACAAATCCTCAAAATAAGATCCTCAATAATCAATGATTGTACCACCCTTTTATCGGACACTTAGTCCTAACAC